AGTGTTTTATGTGCTGCAGAACAGGAACCTGCTGTAAAACAGCAATTATGCTGAGTCAGGCTTGATTTTTTTAGTAATCTTTTCCAGTTAAATCAAATCAATCAAAACTTGGTAAGATGGACAGTTTTTGCAGTGCACTGCAAGTTGCTGAACATTCCCATCACTGATCTGAAACTTCACGTGTTTTTTTTTTTTTCTTGTCCGTGTAGCTAAATGGAATCACCCCTGGTCAAGGCTTTGGCTTTGAATTCCTGCTCAGCCTTCAGCTGGTCTTGTGTGTGCTAACGGTCTCTGACAAAAGGCGAAACGTTGGCCARTATGCACCTCTGGCGTACGGGCTGTCTGTTGCGGCGGGACATCTTGCTGGGGTGAGTCAGTTGAAATATTCCTTTAGTTCCCCTGTCCTTTGTTCTTTCTCTCAGGCAACAAAAGGCTGGTGTGTGAACTGTTAGTCAACCTTGCACTGTGCTAATGAATAGCCCGAAAATTGTTTTCTCTGATATGGTTTGCAGATCCGCTACACAGGATGCGGTATCAACCCAGCTCGATCGTTTGGGCCAGCACTCATTCTGCTGTCTTTCGATGATCATTGGGTATGTTTTGTGGAGCTGAAGATGAAATTTCTGCAGTTTTATTTTTTTTTTATATAAATTGAGCATATTGGATGTTTCTGTGTCCCGATTTTCTCCAGGTGTACTGGGCTGGACCGATGAGTGCTGGTGTGGTGGCAGCGCTTCTCTATAATTACCTGCTGGCTCCCAGAGAGGAGCGTTTCAGTGAGCAGGCGAGGGCCTTGCTTTGCTGTGGCTGGGAAGATGACGAAGAAGAAGAAGAAGGAACGACTACTGAGCCTCTTGTAGGAGAAGCAAAGGATGCAGAATGATAGTGGCTGCTCTGGGGGTGAAAAAAGCACTGTAGAATTTTTTTTTTTTGAGTTTTTGTTTTTCAATAAAAAGTTGTATAATACTTCTATGGAGCACTTTTTTGGGGTGCTCTAAGGACAAAATGTGACTATACTGAAGTACCTGCAAGTATGTAGAAATTAAATCAACTTTATTTACAGTTCATTTAAAGAAAAGTGTTGGTCAACCTGGTTTCTAAAGAAATATCAGAACTAATTGCTTATGTGAATGAATGGGAAAACTGAGATTTAGAATAATAGAAAAGGGCGGCCACCTGAAATCTTAAGCTACTGACAGCACTGATTCAGAGCAGCTTCATATTTCAGTGTCAACTGTGACTTCATATGGCAAAATAGGAATGTTACAGCCTCTACGCTGTCAGTCACAACTGGATTTTCAGCGCCATTTTTGCAGCAGAAGGTGAAATATTCCAGCCTTTTTGACTTTTGCAGATTCTTAACAATTCCTGACATTTTGAGGACTTTATTTGCTGTACACATATCAGGTGACCTTAAGTTAAATTTATTTTGGTAATATTTTCTTCAGGTTGCTGACCCTCACTGCTTTTGTTTAATGCATCTCTACCTTAACTGATCTGACAGGCTTTTCCTCTATGTGACTGTCTGTGTAGAGGTTGTGCCAGGAATTCATCAAATCACAGCCACAGAATGCAACTTGTTGCACATGAAGCTGAGAGAAAATCAGCTTCAAAGGACTAAAAGTTTTTTTTTTCTGGGGAAGATTGGCAATCTAGTGTTTTGCAGGGGGAGGAAAAAGTGGTCACATTTTCTAAAATGGATAAAACTGTTTTTAAATTAAAATTGTTTGTTTTCGGAGGGATTTTAAAAAAATTAAAAGCTTCAAAGAATTTATGCAAGATTTGGTATTTGACATGCATGTGCAAAGTGCATGTTCCTAAAGACGTTTGCCAAGGTTGACTAGCTCTGGTGGCCATCTTGATTTGAGTTGACTCTGAAAGTTAGGTTTAAATGTGAAGTCTATGATTTTCATGAAAAATTTCCTGTTTTATATTTTGCTGACATAATTAGATTGTCCAACTTTCATGGCAATGGCCAATAATGAAAGTACTTTTATTACTTTATAGCAAGTTGCAATCCAGTATTAGCTGAGTAAACGTGTTTTGCAGCTGACCCATACTGTACAATTTTTTTTTAAACGTGGATGGGCTGAATGCACATAAAACACTTTAAATTCTTACTATGATAATCACGATTGGACATGATTTGGTCATCGCGGGGATTTCCTTCCTGGTTTGGTTACAAAATTGTTTGTCACACACTGCTCCATTCTCCTCTTATTTTATGGCTGGTAGATATTTGACGCATTCAGACTAATCGTTACAAAACCATCAGATGACTTTAGATTTCAGAACTGAATAATGACCAACAGGAAAATTTTCTTACAGCAATTTAACCAAGGTTGTTTGGAACGCAGACGTTGCTTGAGCACCAGTGAGGATGGTTGGATGCACATCGCTGTGATTTCCTGTGTTTGACATGACCAGGGACAATTGTATAAAACTTCCAGAAAGTAATCATTGGGTTTAATTTCTGAGCACAACTCAGTTCAAGAGAGCCGCCACAGCTAATCAGCTACTGCCAACACAAAAATGTCTCAATCGTTCAGATATTAAGCTGAAATTAGACGTGGTTGTAGCTGAACTTTTGAAGTCTAATCAATTCTAGATGGCCACTACACCTAAATCACATTAGCCACCACAAAACTGCTGATAACCCAATCAACTGTGCAGGTATTTTGATAAATTCTGGTGCAGTTGTTGAATGCTATCCTCAACACATATATTAAGGACAGACAGATCAACTAAGCTTTTGCAGAGTTGCATAAGATTGCACATTTCATTCCCAAATTTTATGGTTTCTTATCACGATGAACTAATTTTAGTTTGAAACGGAGGCATGAAATGTAGAGGATGATATGCATTCCTACACATTTAGTTATGGCAACTTTAATGCAAGTATTGAAGGGTTCAACTCTGCTTTTTATCAAATTTTAATGCAGCGTTAAGAAAGGTATTTAATATAGAAAAATGTTAAAGGAAGAATAAAAGGTTTTGGTGGGTGAAGTAATCCAATTTAAATGCAACATGTGGCTCGACCTCGATCAGAAATTTGGACTTTCATCTCAATGATCATTTGCCTTTTATATGGTTCATCTTCTCAATGTGGGAATGACGCATCTTTYCAGGTTTTATGATAGAATTTCAGAGGCCATCATGTGAGAGGAGSCAGTTCCAAACCTCCTTCCTTTGTGTGTTTAACCTCAGAGGTCAGAGCATTGTGTTCAGCCCCTTGTTTTGAAATTTGTCTCCACCAACATGGACAATGTTCGTTTTGTTTCGCTTCAGTCATTTTGCTCAKCAAATTATTTGGCTCTCATCTTCAACTTGATTAGTTTGAAACTTGGCAGTAGTCGGTTTTCACCATGGTTCTCTCATATTTCGTCTAGCAAAGATAAACAAATGAAGACCTAGATTTGACCCGATTAAAGCAAATTTCACAAGTAGCTATGCTAAAGCAGGCATTTACATATATCATTTAATCAAAATGTTTGCAATGCTGTTTTTTTTCTTGAAATACGGTAACAGATAAACAGAAAGAAATAAAATTTGCTTTTTTTGAGTGAATCTCACCGTGTTAAACAGTAAACACTGGAACATAATGTATCTGATGACATGTACAAACTGCAACATTATTAAATCAGCCCACAGCTGAATATTTGCACATACTGTTATTGGTTCATTTCTGTAAAATATCCAGAAAAAGGAGTTGGAATTTCCAGAATAGGAGAGTTTGTCAAAAAAAAAGTTGCTAATCAGCAGATTTTATAGTGACTGCAAAATGTTTCAAATGTTTGTGAGCTTTTTAGGATACAGTTTTTAAACATCATTAAATCAGACTTCTTTATAGATTTATGTTATTTGTGTTCTTTAAAAACAAGTATTTACACTTTTTGGTCTATATTTTTCAGTAAATCTGTGCATTTGAACAACTTTTTGCTGTCAAAATGTGCAACCGTTGTAAACAAAAATGACTAACTCTCAGCTGTCTAGCTCTTCCTTTCTGTTAGAATGAGATTATATTTTAACCAGTTAATTAGCGCTTTCACTTCATGTCTTGAATTTTGTGACCCATGCCTAAATGTAAGTCAGCAACTCTGGAGAAGTTTTTTTTGTTTTGTTTTTATTACAAGGTGTATAAAGCAAAGATGAAGAAACATATACCTCTATAATGAGACCAGAATCTTTGAGCTTTCAGTAAAAAGGTTTCTCAATCTTTTTGCGTTAGCCTGATCCTGAAACCACCCACATTTCATCTTCAGCTCTGTCTCCAGACACTGACTGATGCGAAACCCTTATCTACAGGTTTCTCGCCAGCCTTACTCTCTTTCTGCTTTTCATCAGCTTTTCTGGCAACAATCTGACAAAGGTCATGTCAGTTAAGGGGTGTGTGAGAAAAGAAGGTGCAAAACACTTCTCACTTCCTGTTTTTTATGAGCGTAGCACCTGAAGTCCTTCTGACCCTACCTACATATCACAACTTCATTGTTCTATTTTTTTTTTTCAAAAACAATGCAGGCATGACAACAAAAACACTTTGCAACACTTTGGTCACAAACTTGTCAAAATTCACAGAAAGTGAATAACTCGTTTTATTATAAACCTATAAAACATGAGTCAAAAAAACAGACCTTGGTGTTCCTCTTTGGCTGMGGACAACATAAGTTTAATGATTTCCGTCTCAGTTTAGTGACCCAGTTGTTTTTATTTTAATTCATTTATTCATTTTGTTTAAAAATAAAAATTGTATACACAAAAAAATCACATTGCCCCCCTTTTCCTAAATAATTTTAAGCAACAATAAGAAACAAAACGAAATAAAAACTTCAATTCCTTTTCAAACAACAACTTTTGATATAAAAAGGAAAAAAATTGTATAGGTCTTAAAGAAGAACCCGTCCAGAAGACCTATACAATTTTTTTTCCTTTTGATTTTTTACCTGGATTACTGAGATGCATCAGAAACTTTTGATATACATTATACAATTTCATATTTCTTTAACAAACTTATTTTTTATCATTCTCTTAAACAAACACATTGAACCAACATTTTTATAATCCCTTTCCAGATTATTCCACAATCTTATTCCTTAAACTGAAGTACACCAGTTCTTCATATTTGTTTGAATTTTAGATTTTATAAACATCTCAAATCCCTTAAGATTATATAAACTCTCTCTCTAAACAAAATGTAACTGGATGTTTAAGGTAAAAAGAAAATTCATAATCTGCAAGATATCATAATCAACCAACTCATAAAATTTTAATAATTTCAATTTACAAAATAATATATTTGATGGGTGACAGTAATGTTTTCTGGTGATAATTCTAATGGCTCTTTTTCTGTAAAATAAAATAGGATTTGTGATTGTTTTGCACGCTTTACCCCAGACTTCAACACACATAGATTCTAATGTTCTAATGTGTTCTAATGTTAAATGTGACATTGTCTAACAGTATTGTGTCAAAGACTCTATGTCCTGCAGCACAATTCTGTTACAGTTTCAATGATCAGAACATGAGGAAATGCACACCAAGACAGGAACACATGCAGAAAACATACAAAATGGCCAATGTGACCTCTGCAAAACCAACTATCATTAACAATAAACGTTAGCAATAAAATCAGCTGTTTTTATCTCTATCTTATATAAATCAATTAAATTTAATCACAACAGTATAACATATGGTGAACCAAACTTTTAGTTTTAGTGAATTTAATCATGAATTGAAAACAAATATTTGAAGTAGTGTCAGTTAAACAGAACTCACTTGTCAGGTGTAAATAAATATAAATTATTACCCAAATAAAAAAGAATTTGTATACACTGATAAGCATCCTCTGTGTTTATGATGTAATGTGTAAAGAGCCTTAACTACAACAGAAGAAATAACGTGCAACACTGTCACCATGTGGTCAAGACTGGATTTCTGCTCATCACCCTAATGTTATAACAATCATGTATGAAAAAGAAGAATAGCATTACACAAACCTACCCCTTTTTAATATGTATTACAGACTATTATAATCACAGTAAAAGGATGGATTTCTTTCTCTGGTTTAGTCCTGGAGTATAATTTTCATTTTATTTTTTTAATCTAACAATTATTTGGAACCTTTTTTTATCTTATTTTACGTCTAAACAAACATACATATATTTTTACATGTAGCCTACTTAAAAGTATTCAAACAAAAACACATTTTGAAAATCTGCTCCTGAAATAAAAAATGATTTTAGTTTGAAAGGCTCGCTTTGGAACCGGAAGTAGTGTTTTGGCTTTTCCGGTTGTAAAGATGTCTCCGTCCTTGTTCAATTTTGTCGACGCTAAAGAGAAATTTACGGTGAGAATTGAGAGCTTTGTACTTTTTTATTTAAAAAGTCCGTTCGTTTTTACAATATGTTGTTTACAGAGACGTAGTAAAGTTTTTTTTTTTTTCGGTGAAGGTTCCGGTGTGTTCTTTTATGTTGACATAGCATGTAGCAAATGAAGCTAAGCTAAAGAAGGCTGCCTTCCTTATGTTCACTATTATGTCATAATATTCTTTTTCCCCACTTTCACACAACTACAGGCTGCTGCTAGACATGCACTGGGTGGTAAAACCTGCAAACAGTTAGTTAATGTGTTTAATCAGATCCCCGGAAAGTAAGTTCTGCTCCTTTCCAATTTTAGTCTTATTTGTCATAAKTTTTAGGTCGTACTTTAATGTTGTTTAAACAGCCAACTAAACTTTGATGTTCCATCTTGTTACAGTGAAACAGAAAAAAAGACCACATTGGACCAGGCTTTGAGAGGTGTTCTTGGGGATCAGATTGTAAGAGCTAATGTTTTATATAATGTTTTCTTGTTAAATCGGATATCTTATTGGCAGTCAAAACCCCTAAATAATACGTTGTTCTACAGGAAGAGCAGAAGGCAAACTGTGATGACTACCTGTCTCTCATTGACCTGAGTATCCACGCTGTTACTGAGGGTATGTCAGTAATACTCTGTACTGTATATAGTTTTATCCCACATATTTTTTTTTACAATACTTTATGTAACGTTAATTAAAGAAGGCTGGTCAGTAGTGAAACATATCAGATGAAAATGCTGAGGATTAAATTCAGTAACTTTGTCATTAACTATTAGACGAACATGTTTGTTTGATTTTCTTTTAAATGCGAGCGCACATTAGTTTTCTTCCTGCTGAAATTATAAGAATACCAGATTAGTAAAAGGTACAACGAGTGTTCAATCCAAAGTTTTTTTTTTTTAATGATTTGCTGTTCTGCGTCCGTGTTCCCACAGGTATCTGCTCGGCCACAGCTCCTTTTGTCCTGCTGGGAGACGTGCTGGACTGTCTTCCTCTTGACCTTTGTGACAAAATATTCTCTTTCGTGGAGGAAAATGTCTCTACGTGGAAATCGGTACAKAAATGGTTCCTTTATTTTCCCCTGCTAAAGGCAGCAGAAACATAAGAATTTCATGTTTCGTGTTGGACGGCTGTGGCTGAGAAGTTTCTCTGATGCGAGAGTTGGCGGTTTGATTCCACCACTACTCAGTCTTATGATGAAGTGTCCCATCAGAATGGGATCTAAAGCACTGATTGATTTATCTGTATTGGCTTTGTGGAGAGATCTAATGGAGTGCAGAAGTAATGTGTGAGTGGGTAAATTAGAGCTCAGATTGTAGTATAAAGTGCTTTGAGTATCCTGTTTGGATAGAAAGGCTTTACATTAGTACAGTCCATTTACCATTTCTGTACTCTTTTCTCCAGAACTCCTTTTATACCGCAGGGAAGAACTATTTGCTGAGGATGTGTAACGGTAAAGCTCTTACATCATTCTTGGTGTTGCACAAGACAATTTTATCTTCTAAAAGCAAATATTTCATGACTTTCTTTTCCTTCGCTATAGATCTTTTAAGGAGGCTGTCCAAATCTCAGAACACAGTATTCTGTGGAAGAATCCAGCTTTTCCTGGCCCGGCTCTTTCCTTTGTCGGAAAAATCGGGTAAGGTTACAAATATCTAATTTTGTAACTGCATCAACTACGCTGCTTAAAAAATGTTGTAGTCTGACCAATTACATCCATGTTTTTTACGTTTTCATCCAGGCCTCAACCTACAGAGCCAGTTTAACTTGGACAACGTGACAGTGTTTAACAAAAATGAACAGGAAACCACTCTTGGACAGAAGGTGACGTGTTACAATCTGATTAATATAAATATTTTAAATTAAGTTCATAAAGGTTTATTTTTTATGCTGTTATGTTTATTGCAGGCGGATGAAAAAGAAGATAGTATGGAGGTGGAGGAAGGGGAAATGGGGGAGGATGATGCTCCTGCACCATGGTGAGTGGATGTCTTTTGTTCATAATTTGTCACTATAATTGCTCATTTTTTTAAAATACCTTTAAGTAAATCTGATCTATTTTTTCCTAGTTCTATTCCAATCGACTACAACCTGTACAGAAAGTTCTGGATGTTGCAGGACTACTTTAGAAATCCATTGCAGTGCTATGAAAAGTTCTCATGGATAACATTTGTTAAGGTAAYGCACCTCTCTGCAGAGCCAGAAAAATGCTTTTCTGCTAAAATGTGCTTTTGTTCCCWTGACAGATAAATATCTGAGAGAGGGTTRAAAATAACAAGCTTACCACCTGCATTTGTTGCCTTTTTCCCCCCTGYTCAGTACTCAGACGAGACCCTTGCAGTGTTCAAGAGTTACAAGCTGGACGACATGCAGGCTTCTAAGAGGAAGATGGAGGAGCTGAGAGGATCTGATGGGAAACATGTTTATTTTGCCAAGTTCCTCACAAGTGAGAAGGTGTGAAACTTCATCTAAATTTCATACGTTGTTCAAATAAGCTGCTTCCTTTATTGCATTTATTGAAATTTTACATCTGGATTAAATGTGTTGTCTGTTTTTATCTAGATTTATTAAAAAAAACCTCTTTGTTCTTTATCTGCAGTTGATGGACTTACAGCTCAGCGACAGCAACTTCAGGCGTCACATCCTGGTACAATATCTCATCCTCTTTCAGTACCTGAAGGGGCAGGTCAAATTTAAAAGGTGAAACGCATCTCTGTACTCACTTTAAACAAAAAAATAATAACATTTTTTTACACGCTTTAGTTGTAAGAAAACTAATGGTTTGTTTTTGTTTAGCTCCAGCTGCGTTTTGAATGACGACCAAAATACATGGATTGAAGAYACAACAAAGCTGGTGTATCAGGTCAGTTAACAGATATAAAGTGTACGGAYTGGACTGTGTTTATCTGTATTGATCTGAATGTAGTTGGATCTAAATACATTTCAATGGGAAGTAAAATCCTCTGATCTAATTAAATAAAGACACACAATTTCTCTGTTTGCAAAGAGAAAACTGTGCAATGAAAATAAGTTATTCAATTAAAGTTTTAATTGAAGTCCAGATAATGTTTTGTTTATCCTAGAGATACTTTGGAACATTTTTACTTTTAACACTTTATATTGTAGAAACTTTTGCAATCTGGGTCTGTACCTGAACATACAAACATCATATATATTTTATAGTTATTACTATGACAGGCATAAGACAAAGCTTTATACTCTAACAGAAATTATCATAGCATTTGTAGGATTCTGACTCTACATAAGATCATATTAGTCATTTTTTCTTTTTTTTGTCTTGTAGCTGCTGAGAGAAATTCCTCCTGATGGAGATAAATTTGCCACCATGGTCGAGGTAAGAGTTCCCCTTCAGAAACACAAACTCCATATTTATGTTCTGTTTTGTGTTCATGGTGGAGTTTGTTGTGCTCTGGTCCAACTAGAAATGTTTGTGACTCTGAATCTCATCTCTGACAGCACATCCTCAACACAGAGGAAAACTGGAACGCCTGGAAAAATGAGGGATGTCCGAGCTTTGTCAAAGAAAGGTGATGATAACTTTCCTCCAGTTGTATCCAGTGCTTGGTCAGTTGCAACAAAAGAGTTTGATGTGTGAACATAGAGTAGCCTGCCAAAATGACAAGTAGCCTTCTTCTTCTTTTTTTGTTTTGTTTTTTCCTGGAACAGAACAGTAGATGAGAAACCTAAAAGGCCCACCAGGAAAAGACAAGCTCCAGAGGACTTCCTTGGAAAAGGGCCAGACCGCAARCTTTTCATGGGAAAGTATGTTGTCTAATGAGGAGTAGGCTGTGTCCAAATCCATTAAAAGCACAACAACAAAAGTGCCATTTGTGCAAAGTGGTGAAATAATATATTTGTTTATGTGTAGATCATATTTATTAGTGGAAATGCTTTAAAATTAATGATCAGTGGAAGTTTATGCGTCTTATTCTGTAATAAAATATAAAGTTTGTTTTGTTAGTGATGAGTTGACTCGACTGTGGAACCTGAACCAGGACAACATGGAGGCGTGCAAGGCACACAGCAGGTCAGTAATTCACAGAACCAAAGCAGATCACATTTGCACACATCATAAATGAGCTTTATTATATATTTGTCTCTGTCAGAGAGTTCCTGCCATCTCTGGATGAGTTCTTTGCTGAAGCCATTGAACAGGCTGACCCAGTCAACATGGTGGAGGAGGAGTATAAGTAAGTTAGCAAGCAAGTATTTACTATTAATTTTATTATCAGTTTTGTTTATTTATTTATTTTTTTGACCTTCTTAAATGCTTTCAGGGTTGTGCGTAACCCCAACTATGGCTGGCGGGCTTTGAGGCTGCTGTCCAGGAGAAGTCCACACTTCTTTCAGCCGACCAACCAGAAGTTTAAAAGCTTGGCCGACTACCTGGACAGCATGGTTAGCAAACTGGCCAAAGAGCTACCGGTGAGGGATTTGTCTATAACGTGATTTCATACAATTAAAAGGCATAAAATGTTAAGGGTTGATGTTTGTTTCTTTTTTAAAAAATGCAGAAAGATATTCCCTCTGAAGAAATCAAGACTGATGAAGAGGACGACGACGATAATGGAGACAATCTTCTGAAAGACAGCAATGATAGTGAGTTTAATTCAGTGATTTTACTAAAAAGCTTTTCTACTTTCATTTTAAAGATAAACTCATCTTCACGTCTGTGTTTTATATATCGATTTCCATCATTAGGTCCGAGCATTCAGAGCAAACTGGTGACAAACCAGCAGATGGATGACATTGCAGCCAAACTGGGTGCTGAGTGGAAGACGCTGGCCTCTCAGCTGGAGATGAACGCCGCCGATTTGCGGGAAATCGAGACGGACAGCGAGGATGTCGACATGCAGGCTAAACTTCTGCTGGTGGCCTGGCAGGACAGAGAGGGAACACAAGCTACTGTGGAGAACCTGGTCACAGCTCTGAACGCTGCAGGCTTCTCACAGATTGCAGACAGCCTCAATGAGTCCTAAAACTCTTTGTTGCTGAATCTGTTCATGTTTTTGAAGCATCCTTTATCATGCAAAAGCTGTTGGATATACATTTTGTATGTATTGTATGTTCAGGATTTTTCACTAGAAATCTAATAAAGTTTTTTTTATATATATCGTTTCCACTTCATAGTCACAGAAAACGTTACGTTTTGGTTTAGCAGTTTATTTTCACCACCTATGAAAAGTGRTCAGTCAATAACTTATTACAGAAAGTGGATGTTTCAGGTTTTACATTTTGTGGCAGGGTGATCAGGAAACCTGCACAGAGGAAAAGTCTGAAATCAATTTCACCAAGAATAACATTCAAAGCCTACAGCGCAAACCTGAATCTCAAGCCTTTATTTACCCAGACGGTTCACCACGAGGGCGACCTGTTCTGAACTGTTCCCCTTCCAGACTCACGTTTTCCTGAAAACGATGTTATGTAAATTTGGCAGAAAGAGTCACATCTGTCAATACATCTTGAGAACAATGGCAGGAGATGATGTGAGCCAAGCACTTCACAGACCTGAGGTTGACCCCAAAAGCCCAAGAGGTGGACAAGTGTTCTGTAACATCTGCGATAATAAGCTAGAAAGTTGAGGACAGCAGCTTGGAAAGACTTGTTTTTGACAGCTTGGTTAAATGAAACATTTTGCTCTTATATGATCACCTTATCAAAGGTTTCAAAAATATACAATGTGTATAAAACATTTAATCAAACTGCAAAGCTTAAAACCTTACGGACCTAGTCCGAGGATTGCCTCTCATCTTATTTCAAATTTTCAAAAGCACAGTATGGTTGAATATTTAACACAATTTGTTTTACAAGCATATGTGTTGGTTACAAAAAAAAATTAAGGTAAACAAATCATTAAAGACACCAGTTTTATTGCACATCTATGCAGACAGTGCTTGGAAATGGCAATCTGTACGTGTTGGATGTTTAGAGAAATCTCCCACCAGCTACTGTTCCTCTTCAAGTAGTTCCAGCCGGCGGGGCCCGTAAAGTAGAACATACGCTATGTGCCAGTCCCCGCCCCCCGACAGACGCAGGATGTCCTCTGGAGACACCACGCTCACTTTGTCATCATCAAACTTGATCCACTCGTCTGTTGGCAAACGAAATGTAAATAAAAGAGGCAAGTTTAAGTTATAAACACTCCAATAAGTGAACGTGTTGCTAAACCGTGATTACCTTCTTTCCTCTTGACCCAACCCACGTAGTGACCCGAAGAGCTGGAGCGACCTTGGTGAGTCAGCACAGCCTGCAGGTCGTAGTAGCCGCTGTTGTTTGAGCCGAGGTCTACAAAAACGGAAAAACAAAACTCCATTAAATTCAAATCACAGATACTTTCTTCATTTCCACTCAGCTCAAAGGCCACTWTCCTGCAGGTTTCCCTGCTTCGGCACACTTGATTAGAATGAATGAGTAAATAGCAGGCTTCTGTACAACTTAAAAACCTAGTCAAGAGCAGGGAAACAAGTAGGCTAAATAGTGGCTCTTGAAGACCACGAGTGTGACGAATAAACAGCATCACAAAAAAATTATTTTTTAATTCAGTTTAAAATGTTATGAGATTTATTTCTCCTGTATGGATAAGGATATTTTTGGTCTTGATGTGGAGACATTTTATGTACAGGCTAGTCCAACAGCTACATTTTTGGCAGCATTTTAATGTCAAGGGTGACTCTGGGTCTCAACCTACCATCTGCAAAAGAGAAAGGATCGTATTTCATTTCCTTCCCTGCATCTGGCTTCTTCAACAACTAATGCAAAGAGAAAAAAAAATAAATTTACTTATTCTGAAGTCCTACATTACTGTTTGCTAAACAGTTACAAAGATGAGGGAAGGAGGGGGGATGTTACCTTTTGCTGCTGTTTCTCCAGCTTTTTATCCTCCATGTCTTTAAACTTTGACCTGACTGGCAACATTTTCTCCTGCAGCTCAGCGGTGCACAGCTCGTAGACATCCAACATGAGTGGAAACTTAACATCCTTCAGAAACAACACGGTAATGAAAGACTACAAGTTAACAGACCGGCGATAACGAGAAACGTCACAAATCAAGGTGACGATCCAAGAAAACAAACCTTTAGAACTTTTGCGTTGACAGATTCTTTCTCTTTGTAGAAAAATCTGACCATCTGAATGGTCAAGTAGGCAGGGAGGCGGCTGAGTTTGGACTAATAGGGATGAGGGAAATATTTTTTACAAGTTGGAAAGGTAAAGAACAATTAACAATTATGGAACGGATAAAGGAAAATTTAACTTACAGATTTTATGTACTGAGCATTTCTGTTTAAGGATGGAGACATTTTTGTGATCTCTTCTTGCAGCCTCTGGAGGAGAAACAACATAATTATACCCATCTCACTTGGTTTTTTTTTTTAATTAAAACTGAGCATAAAAAGCCAGAGAAATGTTTTAAACCACCATGCTGCCTAGTGTCACATTTCACTGAAAAGATCCACTAAGCTGTTACACACATTTGCCTTTTTCCTGATACTTACCAGTCTTAGTCCTGTTGCAAGGTATTTGACTTCCTGGTTGATGAAGCAGCTTAGCTGGAGCTGGCTTTCCTTGCCCTTTATTGGCTCTTCTTCCTCAGACTCTGTGCATTTCATGCTGAACAGGTGAGTTAAGAAATCAAACTAACAACACAATTCATTTCAGCCATCGAAACTGAAGCTCTAGGACCAAAACTCAGAGCAGTCAAACTATCTTTAACAAAATAACACAAGAAAAAAGGATACGTAGTTTCAAATTCTACACCAAAATACTGGTCAATGAAGTTCTTCTTTGAAGAGGCAGAGGCATCTCCACTCTCAGATTCAGTCTAAAGGTTGACAGGATAAATTAAATCAGCAGAAAGAAAGGAAACACACAAAACCCAAGCACAACCTTTTGATCAATTAGTCATTAAATAAATAAAAATGTACCTCCATGGCAGTCTCTGGCTCTAGTGTTTCTAACTTTTGCTGAAGCACTCTCATCATCTGAAGCCAACATTCATTGGCATCCTGACAAAAAAAAAGGGTGGTAAAGCACAAAGAGCCTATACGTACACAATTTAGATGCCACAAGTGTTGAAGAGTTCCTCACCTGCTGGAGGTACTGCCCTTGGTCTCCCTTCTCAGCAAACTGTGGAAAGGCCATGTGAAGAAACTGCAGCAAAATAATAGGTGGGAGGCTGGAAGAGGTCTTGTCCATAGTCTCATATAAATCACGAAGAGCTAAAAAATAACAGGACCCAGCAAATTCATCTTACATGCACCAGAACGTTCAAGATTTTAATGTGTGGCTGCTCATCCACAAGATACATTCAATGTGCCTCATACCAGCTGTGATGTATTGTGCAGGTGCATTTGCCCCCGAGGATCGCAGAGCACCGGAATACCTGCAGGTAGCAACAGAGAATTTGAGGCAGGGGAAATTTAAAAAGTGTACTTGGTTTTTACAGAAAAGAAAATAAAGGTTTATAATGAAACACTTTGCAGAAAATTACTAATGCTGTGTTTAAAACGTGTTACAAAAGCAAAACTAAAAACACGTACTTCCTAAGTGCAGTTTTAAGCTCTGGCACGGAGCGGAGACATTGCACCGTGGCGTTCATGTAGCACGTGTTGCCCAAGTTTGTCAGTCCACAAGGGAGCTCCATCTAAACAAGACAACAAGAGTGCAATAAGCTTTTCCATCAAGTATTAAATATTAATATAGAGGATGTAGTTACATTTGCCATAACTGCAGTTTCAAGCTCTGACAATAAATTGTCAAAAGGACAAACAAACAAACAAAAAAGATTAAAATACAAATAAGTTGAGAAAATAACATTTCAGTGCTCTCAATATTTCTTCTACATCCAGTGATATGAATGAATATAGATGAACAATATATATTGTGTATGTTTTCTTTTTAAACCCTTCCTGGCATAACGGTAATAGTGAGGGTTCCTCACCGCTGAGGCCAGCTGCTCCTCGGTCATGTCCTCGACAAACATGGGCCGAACAGCGGGCTCCTCAGGCAGGGCCTCTGCAGAGCCCATCATCAGCAGAGTCATTCCCTTAAAGAAAGAGAGAGGGAAAAAATTGAAAAGATTATTCAAAATAGTCTTGTGCATATCTACCAGAAGTGTGCAAATATATCAATTACTCACATTTTTTAATTTTATGTTTCCCCATTCATCATCCTATAAAAGGAGACATGTATTAGTTGATTGTAAATATGTAATGAGTAACACTTAAACAGCTTCAAGAAAACCCTGAACATAACGGCTTTTTTATTTTAGGATATGGCATCTCCAGATCAGAAAAATGGCAGTTTCTTTTCAATTAAAATAAAGTGAACTGCAGCTACAATGCAGTACATGCTCAAAAAAGAGCCAAAGCATTTTAGCATTTTGTTGTATTCTATTGCATGTTCAAAAAACTTATTTAAATTAGTATCATGGGTTATAATATAAGCGGTTATCTATTTATTCAGACAAGAGCAATAGCTAGTGTTGTCTCATCCTCATAGTACCATATTTTTCTAATACCTTCAGAGTGCCTCCCTTCACCATAACCTTCTGTCTGTCTGGTTGAACTCCTGTCAAGGCAAAGAGTTGCGCCTTGAAGACCATGGGTGGTTCCTCYGTGTTCAGCTCTACTGCATCAAACTTCTCTTTGCCCCATTTCACATTCACTGAAACGAAGAGAAAACAACAGTGTGTGTAAACAGTAGCCTCCCACACAACACGCTGGGAAAACTAGACAAGCATGACACAGCATCATGCTGACAACATTAAAATGCTTCTTATTTCTAATCAGGCATGTAACCGGGCAGCCCGGCTCAGCTGCTGACTGTTGCTTTATAACCAAAAGTGGAAGCTAACAAAATAAATGGCGTTTTGCAACTACTTTGCTGCGACATGTGCTCCATTAGTAAGACTATTGCTAGTAAAACGTTAAAATCGTGTTTTCTATTTGTTTACGTAAACAAGCCGTAACAACAAACCGCATAAAACTCCAGTCAACACAGCACAGGGCTAGCTGTACAACATTGCTAATGCAATGAAATAAAATAATTTACACGCTCGAGCTGTGTTTAATTCTTATTAGATCAATAATATTTGTCATAGTAAAGAAATGCTAATAGTGTCTATGTTGTAGTGACGAAGTTTTCGTTAATAACTACTTAAACTGTCAAACTTAAAACATAGCTAACTCGATTAGCTTTAGTTTAAAGGTATCAGCTAATAGAGTCGGCTTCGCCAAAATACACTCTGAAGACAAACCTAATATAGCAAAAATATAACTTCTTATACTTCTTTAACCTACACAAAGCTCCATGGACCAACTCAACCGGTTAATTTTAGTTTAGAGTCAGTCTAGCCTATTAGCATGCTAACTGCATTTACGTTAAGCAGCTAAGCTAATGTTATAAACGCTGTCTCACGAAACACGTGCTAGGATTTTTGTTTTGTGATAGTTTTAATAAAAATAAACATATTGTGTTAAATGCACATCATACCTGTAAACACCGGCATGGCTGGTAATCTTTCACCTCCTCGGGGTCTATTTTTTTCCTGTTTCAGTCTACTGGGGCGCGAATCAAGAGTTGGCTAGTTCTCGGTCAGAACTTCATTCAAACAGGATGACGCTGCAACAACACGATTGGGACCGATCGATGCGCTCGACGTGCTGCTAGCTGTCCTGCCSAAATACACTAGTTGGCTACGGAAAGCCGCTGTAATCAAACCAACTACCTCAAGCTTTTAGTTTCAGTTTTGTGTATTGATACAGTAAAATTAGTTATAAATTGATTAAATTAACCTGTTTATTTTCATTTACATGACACATGGGTTTACATTTTACTCTGCTAGTGCTGTAAAACTGTCTGCACCTTTGTATAATTTTCAAGCAGAAACAAGGCTCATTTTATAMACAGCAGATAAATTAGTTACTCAAGAGGCCTAATGTGGTTCAGTGAAAACTAGATGAATTCTCAGCACTTATACAAAACAAAATCTACATGTTAAGCTACAGATATATGAAGGAAGAAGTGTACAAAAGAATGATAAAGATATGTTTATTGACATATCCAACAGTGCGGACTCCAATGCAATTTAACCATGCAAATTATCCGAGACAAGAGTAGATCATATTTCCAGTGCTTTTTTTTTTGTTTACTGAAAAATATATATATATTTATATCACAAAGACTGTGGAAGTATTCCATAGCTATCCTTGTCTTTATACACTTAGGGGATTTGCATAAATGTGATATTACCATGTTGAACAAACAACTTGTAATTGTTAATTATTCTCACAAGTAGACTAGCTTTACGTAAACTCTTGTTTTAGTAAGTTTTCATACGATATGAACCAAGTGATGGGATTTTGTTTGGATACAGTCTTACAGTCTATTGCAAAGTTTTCACGAAGAGGTAATCTAATGAATATACTGTTCAAAAATGGGGGGGGGGGGGCAGTTCTGGTAAAACCACAAATGTGTGGCATATAAAAAAATGGAAGCATTAATATTTGTCTTGTGTTGGAACAGCAACAAAAACGATATGGCAGTAAAATTAATATGCAAACATTAAGGCACAAGGTGGGCCAAATGCTACACCTGTTTAGTCTTTTACAAATTATTTACAGTCAAGTCAAACAGTGCAGTTTTATATTTGTTAACTTAATGTTGTCTTTTTGAGCCATTTGTCGATGAATCACTGTAAGGCAATACATTAAAAAAAATCACACAAGAAAAATATATATTACAGAGAATGTACCAAATAAACAAAAAAAAAAACATATTCATTTACTTTTATGACTCCTATATGCCATTACAATAGAATTTTCCTTATGGCTTGGAGCAATAAAATAACCACAATAAAACGATGCATAGATTTAAATGATGATCTTGCATGCTCCTTGCTCAAAAAACGTCTGATATTCACGTCCCAAACCTGATAATTGCCTTGAAAAGGGATTTTAAAAAGGCAAAAAGGCCAGAGATGTTAGATGAAGGCATCAGTCATTTTTAGCTGGAAACAAAAATTCTATTTAGCTCAAATTCTCTGTCAGTAATGGGGGAAAAAAATGACTTAACAGATATTAATTTTTCACTTCCAAGACACTTTTTTTTTCTGCAGATCCACAATCCCTGTATGACAGTACCTTAAACTGAAAACATACTTACAGGAGGCCAGATAACCTCCGACTTCATTTCCTCCCCTGCTGGAAAAAATATGAAATACAGAATGCATTCATGACATGAGTCCTTCAGTCTCTCTGTTGTCTAATCTGGAGTCCAGTCAAGTGCGCCATCTTCTGGTTCAAACAGAGAATAGCAAGTTTGTTGAGCTGGATTGATGTTTATCCTTTGAACAAAAACTGATGGACGAAGGGAAGTTGGCCTTTTCACATCCATGTCGCCTCGTGGTGCAGTTTTCCAGGGATATATATTTTTTATTGTTTTTATCAGTTTGAATACATTTTTTAAATATAATACAGGCTTTCCATTTGTGTAGATGAGAAGAAGAAAAGTTTAGAGTCCACAAAAATCCCAATGATTCAGATGGTTAGCTGAAAGAAACAAAAAAGAGTGTCCAGTAAAAGACAAATACTATATTTGCATTTGTTAGTAACCCAGTCTAACAACAGAAAGCTGCTTGATAGAAATTGTAACAGCAACTTTGAATTACATGTGACAGGTAAACTAAAAAAAATACACATACTGGACAATTCTGAAGGAMGTTGCAAAGTCTATAATATCAGTTAATGAACCCAGGAACATATTAGTGCCAATTAGAAAATCCCAAGTGTGAATCGCACAGAGCCCAGGAGTTGACCAACTAACCAAGCAGGATGTGTCTCCTGTTAGCAACACCCAGGCAGATGATTAATAAATACACAGATTAAAAGCTTTAGAGGGGGGAAAAATCTTAAAAACACTTTCTGAAGAAGTTCCTGTCAACAAGTGCTTGATGTTGTGTCTGCTGCCTGGAGGCTGGACTGCGCTCTGCTACAACACAGGAAACAAAGAGCAAGTCACGTGACTGACTTCACATCTCAGCCCTTACAGCTGAGATTTTGGGGAAAAAAAGGAACAAAAGACTTTGGGCAGCAGCACATCCTCACTTACTGCCTGGAAAAATGTCATGCAGCTAGATTAACATCTGTAAAAAAATACTTGTGCAACTACAGTTTGAAAATGCTGTTTTCAAAGCTCTAATATATAAACACTCAAGTTACCTCAGCTTTCCCGTATTGCCTTTGGGGTTCTTGCGGATAGACTGGTTGGTTCCAGAGCGAGACATATTAAAAGGTGAGGCTCTAGTAAAGGGTGGTGGGGTTTTAGGAATCTTTTTTCCAAGGTGGCCGATCCATTTCTTTTGCTCCTCTTGGGTCAGGGCCAGCAGGAGCATGTCCCGGGCAGAGGTCACATCGTAGTTTACTGTGGAGACCAGCACACAGGACACAGATTAACATAAATGTGTCCTTAATCTTCACTTCATTTACTGATGTGGTAATTGTAATTGTAATTTCTAGATTTGGGCTTCAGAATCAGCTAAAGCATAAATATGGAATTACAACCCAAAGTGGGAACTTCACCTTTGCAGGGTCTCATAATATCCTCCTTTTTGTCCAGGTGGTCTTTGTGGCACTTCTCATGGCAGCGCCGGCACTCCAGGGCCGGAGGCGGCTTGAAGACGTGCCACAGGGGCTTGGAGCAGCCGTCACAGTTGGAAGGGAAGTGATACAGCGTGGGGATGAACTCGTGGCCTTTGTGTTGGAGAAAATTGGTTTTGTCGCCCTGAGGGACCGTCTCTACTATGTCCGCATCTTTCCTGCACTCTCCCTCGTTGGCGTATAAGATCTGAAGCAGCAAAGGAAGAAGATCAGAAACTCTGGCGCAGGTTTCATTCTGGACACTCAGAAGACCCAGAACATTTATTTATGTTCATCACAGAATTAGAACTTCTTCTGTTTTTTTTTTGGGAACGTTTACGACTCTGCTAAASGGAGCCTCCTACCTGGAATATCCTGGGAATCTCTTCCGTGTCAGCTCGGTACACGTCCCCTTGTGTGACTGGTCTCACGTGAAACAGTTTACTACACAAAGAAAACAAAATGAGAAACTTTATTTGTATATTATTTAGTCTAACTAAACTAACCTCAAACTTCTGAAGTGTCTAGTTTGTCTTTTAGTKTCTACTGAATGGAGGAACATAGAAAGGAAGTACTTACTCAATATCAAGTACCATCGAGGGGTTTGACTGCTCTTTATCCTGCTCATCATTGTAGAACAGAATCTTCCTGCTGCTCACCACAACATACTGAAAATAACAATGAAAAGACAAAAAATAAATAAAAGGGAGATCAGATTTTGCCCTCGACGGCTTCACAGTAATTTAAAAGTGAAAACATACCTGCTTCTTCCATCCATATCGTTTGATATTAGTTCGATTAGGAATGGACAGCCAACCCTCCAGTCTGGATTCTGTGAAAAAAAAAAAAATGCTGAAGAATTAACAAACGTGCAGGGAATAAAAACATACTTGGAGGAAGCCATGCAACAATTAAATCCAAACTCAACTGGGGGGAAAACAGAAGTCAAAGGTTACACTACCACACTACGTTAAACTTAAGATGAACTCCTCGGGGAGTTTCAAGACAACCGCGCTGGAGCAGGTGACAGGACTGTAGATATCCCATGCAGGGGGAGAATACCGAGTAAGATCAACTCTTTCTCTTAGTTCATAATTGTGTTTGTGGTTTTAGAAGTTTAGCAGTCAGAATTCAGTTAAAGCATCACTCAGTCCTTTCACAGAAACAAACAGGTGCACTGAGGGTTATGTTCCTGCATTGTTTGGTGCTGGAGAGCATGCAGCTGAAACAACACAAGCATCGCAGCATTTGTGAACTKAAAGGGGCTTGTCTAAGAAACGTGGGGGGGTCTGTGTCCAAACAAGCAGAACTTTTGGTCAACATGCTGACAAGACACAGAATTGTGTTACGAGCTAAAAAAAAACACTGCTGTGAAATAAGAGCAGCTTTGTCAACATGGTTAAAAGGTGCTGATAGTGATGTGCTAAACCTCAGGAGGGTGTCAGTAAACACTACTGCTAGCAGTGGCCTTGTGATACTGTCATAGTCCTCTGTCAGCATAAATAAATTAATCCCTAAAGTTCAATTACTCCCCAATCCATCAGGCATCAAAAGTGTTTGGGGTATTCATCCCACAATTGTAGCACCTCTGGTCGAAAGCATATTTACTCATATATTGAAAAAAATAATAAAAAATACAGGAAAACGAGACAAAACAACAGCTGCAGCATGGGGCGGCAAGATGGGCTTGTCCACCGAGTTACTCACAGAGGAAAAGGAATGGGAGTTACAAAGATAAGAGGAGCAAGGAGAACCAACTGGGCATGAGAGAAATGAGAGAAAGTGATTTAACCACAAACACCAACAGACATGAAAACACAAAGTACACACGTTTATACACAAGCCTATCGAAGAGTTTGTATACTAACAAGCACAGCGGCTTAGACAAATTTATTGTCAGTTCAGCTTTTTTACAAGTTTTTGTATAAAACATAACTGTTAAAAAAGGCCAACTACTTTTTCAACTTTACCCAAAAAACAATAAACTACACTCAGAATACAAAACTAAAACTGAAACACAGACTAGTTTCAGCAAGCAGTTTGTGTCACCTGAGGCAACACAACTATCATGTTTTCAAAACTCTTAGTCTGGATTTATTGCAAAGAAAATCACATACAAGTAACTTAGCACTTGTGCTAAGCAAAACCTGAACTAGCTAAGATTTTTATGATAGTAAAATATTTTTACTATCATACAAATATGATAGTAAATAATTTGTTACCTTAAGAGAATAATTGTAATATTAAATAGATTTTTAATAAATATTTACTTTGGGTCAYGTATGTGATCATACCTGCAATATTACTGTCTGTTTCATCTGTCTGCAGGCTGGTGATGCTTGAATTTTCCATTCGTTGTTGCAAATCGTTGAGCTTCTCTCGGAGCTGCTCGATGTCGCTCTCCTTGCTGTCCAGCTGCATCTGCAGGTCGTTGCGATACGTGCACTCCTCTGCAAGTTGCTGTAAGATAGAAACRCATTTTAATAAACTGCATTTCAGATCAACGGTCCGTGTACTTTTTGGTCTTGTCGTTTTAAAAACATATTGAAAAATGAAAAACAGATGGTTGTTTGTTTTTCATTTTAAAATTTAACGCTGTTGTAAAGGCAACTTGAGGATGTCCTGTGGGACCTGCTGCAGCTTCCAGTTCTTCACCTTGGACCTTAGGAGAAAGGCTTCATGTGCTAAAAGCACCAGAAGCTCCAGGAAACAGTTTGGATCATCAGTGATATACAAACTATCAGCTGACACCTGTTGAAGGAATGTCAAACTGATCAGCTAGCTGTTTTTTATTGCACTTGCCTGGTTAGCTAGCTATAAAGTAAAACGTCTTTATTCATCCCATTATCAGACCATTTAAGTTGGAGCTAGATAGTTATTTAAAAAAATAGCCAGACTAGCTATATTAATAACAAATAAATAAATTACAGAGTACAGTCTGCATTTAGTTAATGTCAATGTCAACTTTATAAAGTGCTTTTAAAAACAGCTAATAGCTGCACCAAATTGCTGTACAGCAATCCACAAATATCACAAAAGCACAATAATTGCTAAAAATACATAATAAATTACAACCAACAATAGTAAGAACAGATAAAATTACAATGCCAGGTCTTGTTTTAATTAAATGCCTTTGAATAAAAGTAAATGCAAAGAATTAGCTAGTGTTTATTAGCTGCCTGATATTAAACAGTTATATAACTAGCTCCGTCTTAAATGGTCTGATGATGACAGTGTTAACTTGCGATTTGACAAAAATAAAAAGACGGATGTTTTCCAGATTTGGAGCATAAAATGAAACTACAACAACCGTCTGTTTTTCAATACGTTTTTAAAACCAAAATAATCAAATGACCAAAAAGTAAATGGAGCATTATCACAGTACACTTCAGCTTGTTGAGTTGTTAACCCACCGCCTGCATCTCGTTGAGTTCTTTCTGGTATTTGATGGCCATGTGGTTGAACTTTTCTTTCTCCTGATTAAGCTCCAGCTGAAGTTTGCGGTTCTCCTTCTCCTTCTTCCTCAGGTCCGCTGTGCTGCCTTTCTTCTTCTGGTCGAGCTTCATGTCTTTACGGTTCATGATCTCTGCTAGTTTGTTCACCGCCTGACGACGGGAGGAAGGAGGAACAAAAGGCAAAGCATCAAGCGCTGCTATCACTCAGCTATGTGGCTGATTCTCACGAGAATGACATCTTTACCTGAATCTTCAGGGTGCGTTCTGTACAGAGGACCTTTTCATAGCTGGCTTTGACCGCGTTTGTATATTCTTCCTTCTGTGCTTCATATTCTTCAAGAGAAAAGGAAACTATGTTTGAGGTAACATTTAAAAAAAGAATAGGGCGATAAAGTTCAGCAGTTTTAAAATACCTTCCTCCTGAACGCGAAGCTTCTCATTTAACTCTGCTTTCTCTTTGCTGAGATTCTCCACGTCTTTGGTTAAAGTTTTATTAGATTCCTCAAGCTGCGCAGAAATGTGAAACTTTGTCACTTATAAAGTCGAACAGATTAGGCATTATTGTACTGTAGTATAAACGGGAACTACTTTTACAAAAAGGCCTTTTGGGTTTTACTTACCTGAGCAATAGTTGCCTCTTTTTCCCCGATCTCCTGCTTGTGCCTGGCTGCTGCTTTCTTGTTCTCCTGGATGAGCTCAAAGTATTGCTCCTCCTGAAGTCCGCGAGCAAGCTGCTCCGACTCGGCCTTGGTTACTGTCAGATCCAGCTGAGCAGACAGGGAATCCCTGTGGCAGAAATGAGGAACGTGATCTAGTTAGCACTTACCTCTCTTAAGTGACCAAAAAAAGCAAATCAACATTCACAAACTTAAATTCAAATTTGCACGGCATCTTTTCATCTCTTACCTTTCACTCAACAAATCCTGCACCCTTTTCTGTGCGTCTTGTACCTGCCGGTTCCTTTCATCATTCTCCTCTTTCAGCTCCTTGACCTGAGTTTTGTATAGTGTCTGAGAAAAACAAATGAATAAATAAATATTTCAGGCAGTGGTTTTTAAAACTAAATCAGGAGGCACAGAAACTCTTGAATGCATGAACTCGTACTTACAGAAAAATACTGTTCAGCTTCAAGCTGGTCCTGAAGTTCCCTCATCTGCCCCTCGTTGCCTCTGTATTGTCTGTAAACACATCAACCCAACAAGATCCAGGAATTATTTTTGCTTCTTTAAATGCAACAAATAATTTTAGAAACATTTTAAGCCTCGAAAATCTACCCATTAGTCTAATGAGCTGATCAGAGGATGAAGAATAAGTGGATGGTGCGGGTCTAATCCTTGTGTTAAAAGAAATGCTGCTGGAGAACAGCTTTGGCAAACTCATGCACTAAGCTGGAATAATAGCACTTGTTTGAAAACAACAGGCAATTAGAAAGCAATTTACACATTAACTTTTTAAGAGACTTACTGCCCAGTGCTGCAGCTAAAGAACATTAAAAGCTCTGGCCGGAGCCACTGCCAGCTTGTTTCAGAGCTTGTGAACAAGATATTGTTGAACATGTTTAAAATTGCTGTTTTCGGTTTCACAGATAACATTTAAAGTATTATTATGACTGGTTTTATAAAATTCAGAACCATACTTGGTCAGCTGCGCCAGCTGGAACTCCAGAGTGCGTTTGCTCTCCAGGGCTGCGTTGGCTTCCTGTTTGAGCTGCTTCTCCGAACATCTCAGACGGTCCACGTCCTGCATGCGGCTCTTCAGGTCACTCTGGACCAGGACTCGTTTACTTGACTCCTGTTCCAGCTGGATTTGCAGGTTTTTCACCTGAGGAAAGAGCAGAGGGAAAAAAAATCAATAAATAGTGCTCATCGAACCTCTTATGTGCTGTGTTTTATTATTTACTGACCTCGTCTTCCAGCCTCTCCTTTTGCTTCATCAACTGCTCCATTTTCTGCACAGACTGCTTCAGGTCGAACTCCAGCATCGAGCACTGCTTCTCAACCTCCAGCACCCGGCTCTCTGCCCTCATCCTTGCTCCAGTCTCCTCTGCCACCTTTTGCTGAACAGCTGGAGCAAAACAATATTAACTCTGTCACTTATGGTCAAAAATAGGTGAAGCTGAGGTATTTTTGTGCTTCTGTTTAGTCAGACCAAAAAAAGTCCTTTACAATAGACAGCTATATTAAACCTGAATATAAAATCATTTTTTTAATATGCAATAAGCCAATGCCCCGACATGCTCACTGGGCTTGAACGTCTTGAATTCCTTTAWCTCAAACAGCACCTCAAGGTGTCTTCAGATCAGATATAAATGAAGCCTAATAACAACTGATTGGGTGAGAAATAAGATACGTACTATCCGTCACATGAGCCCATGTGAAAAAGGGTCATAACAATGTTGAGGCGATTCAGGATGTGAAAAAGGCAAGATAAATTAAAAAAAAAGGAAAGGGGAGAAAGCATGCTCAGACATGGGACTGGCATACCATTCATGGCAGCTGATTTGGCTTCTTCAATAGACTCGTATTTGTCTGTGAGCTGTGCCCGCGTCACTCTGTGTTCAGTCTGCTCCTGCTCCAGACGCTGCTGCAACGTCTTCAGCTTGTAGTTCAGGTCGATCTCCACGCTGTTCTTTTCCTATGGGGAGAGGTAATAACCCAAAAAACAAAAAAGTAATACAAGATCGACATCAATTAGCACTTCAAGAATTTCCACATGTAGGAAGGACTTGCTGTTAGCGCTTCATGTATGTACCTTCTCCAGGTTGTTACTCCTTTCCTGAGCATGTTTGCGTTCTGCCTCAGCTTTGGACAAGCTGAGCTTCAGGTTTTTGTTGTCCTCCTGCAGTCCAGCTATTCTCGCTGAGAGTGAAACAAAAAACAAGCATAAATATTTCATCAGATTTTGTGGATTTATCTTGGATGTTTGAGAGGGGGATTGTTTTTTTAATTGATTTTCACCTAAATCTACTTTTATACACCCTGAGCAATTAACATTTGTATTTCTGTTGAGTTAAAGCTTCACCATATAAATTTGATTTCATAAAAAAATTGGCATGAGTCAGTCAGCAGGTCACCTTGCAGCTCCCTCATCTCCTCTGAGCCCTGGCTGTAGTTGCTGCGCTCCAAGTCCAGCGTGCTCTGAAGAACCAGGAGCTCCTTCTCCAGCTGCGCCTTCACTGCATCTCCTGCACGGCTCCTCTCCTGCAGCTCACGGTTCAAACTTTCCAAATGGTTCGAAGCATTTGTCAACTCCGTGTTGTTTTTCCTCAGCCTCGCTACCGTGTCCGATTCTGCTCGCAGCAAGGCGTTGGCCTCATCCAGCTGTCAATAATAATAATTTTTAAAATAAAAAAGCTCAACAAAATGTCCTCTATTGACAAAGTGCTGTCAGTACTTTAACAGTGTTGATTCAAAGACAGAAAATGTCAGCTTTGAGTCTCAGGTTGGGCTCGTTTGTGCAGAGTTCCAGATTCTGTACCTGATTCTGCAGCTGAAGAATCTTGTCAGTCGAGGCCTGTGAGTTCTGACTGATCTTCTTCATATCTTCAAGCTGCTCCTTCAAAGTTGACACTAAAAAAAATACACAGGTCTAGTTAAGTTTGAATAATTTGTTTATGGTTTCATTTTTTTCCTGTGCAAAATAGTTAAAAGAATGTTATTTAGGACATAAAAAAGTGCACAAAATTTCTGCTGAGGCATTTTGTGCCTCTATTAACATTACAATTCAAATCTGTGTCTATGTCCTGACCATGTTTGCTTTTTACAAACTTGACTTTCAAAGCATCTAACTTGGAAATCAGCAGCACTTCGTTATCTTTACCCTCATTTTCCAAATTGCGTCTCTTCTCTGCGTCCTGGTCAGCTTTTCTTTGGTAGTCAGTGAACCTGTGCTGCAGCATGATCTTGTCTTTCTCCAGCATAGACAAGTTTGCGTCTGCATTCTTCCTCTGGTTTGCCTGCAGCAAAGAACAACAGAGCAGCTGTGATGCAGCAGAAACAGATTCTCAGTCAAGCTAAAGATGCTAAACAAGAATATATTTAACTTCATTTCCATTGGTAACATCACATTCTAACAGCAAGAGCTAAAAGTTGAAAACACTCAGAGGCTGTTTCAACATTGAGGATCTAAATCCAGAGAAAAAGAGAATTAACCTCTTCATCCAGTTCTTTCAGGATCTTCTCAATCTTGGTGTTTGATGTCCTAGAGAGTGCAGAATCAGGAAAATGAAACTATTTTAAGTTTTCTAGCCAAAAAGCACCACACCACGAGAGATTAAAAATATCTTTAGTCCATGACAGTAACCTCTCTGGGCCATTTTTGTGTTCAAATCAAACAATACAATTGCAAAACAATTTTTAAGTTTTTGTAACAAAACTAAACTCAACTGTTTTCCCAACATTTCTGTTGCAATGAAGCCAAAAATGTCTTATCTGATACACAAAGTAAACAAAAGCATTTTACGTAAAAACAAAAGGCTTAAATCAGACCTGCATTTCTGTTCCAACTCATCTTTAAGCTGCATTTCATTGTGGAGCTGCTCCTCTAAATGGTAGACTTGCTTTTGCAGGCTCTCCAGCTAAAAAATTAAAATAAAATAAAAAATAAATAAAAAATAAAATAAGATTTAAAAAACAATGAAAAGGCAACTGATGTTTTTACATCATACAGACTTGCTTCTACTGAAGTGTGGTGTTCTACTCACGCGACTCTTGTCTTCTTTTGTGGAACTGCTATGTTTGTCACTGGTCTTTGTGGCAGTGGAGCGGCGGGAAAGACTGCAGACATCACAGCAATGATCGAAGTTCAATATTTGAGATGTAAGACGTAATTTCTACCTTGCCGGTTCAACTTTTACACATTCACACACATGCCAACAGTGAAGGAATCAGCCTGAATATACAGTATTATATTGATTGAGTGTGACAAGCTTACTGTTCGTTGCTGTAATATGTGAAGCCAACAAAGGGCAGCTGGTTGCCCACAAAGGCCTTTGGTATGGGAAAGGTTTCCTCTTCTCCTCGATCCTCCTCAATGTCATCAAAGTTACTGGTGTCGATGTCACTGCTCAGTTCAGGCACCACAGGGGCAGCAGCTTCCAAAAACACAAAAGAGTTAGGGATTCATTATAACAGCTTATTATAACAGCAGATACATGATGACTTATGGGACAAACAAGATCCAAGTTAAGTTTAAGTTTCTTTAAAATTGTGAACTGCAGTTGCTGGCATCTATTGTGCCAATGTTGTAAACACATTGCTGATAAATAAGAGCATGACTTAAAGAAATTTAAAAAATGACAATCTTGTAAAAATCAAAAAGCCATTGCTCATGATGTGATCATTATTGGTTGCAGTTTAGGGTCTATGAGCATTATGTAAGTCTAAGATCTACAGTTATTGTAGACTGATTCATTTCCTGGATGACTGGGAAATCATTTTTTCTTTGAGGAATCACGGTATAATCGTGGCATTCAATAGTAATTCAGCATTTCTTGCAGAGCTACTTTCCGTAAGACAAAAGTGTTTTAAAGCCTTCTCGAAAACACAGGAAAATCAGTAGGCTGACAGTCACTGAAACACAACACCGAACTGCAGACTCAGCCTAGTGAAGTTTTAAACATAAAGCCCCTGAAGAACTGACTGTAGCTACTTGATTTAACTCTACTTTTCTAATCACTCTCTGCTACAATGTCAATCCCAGCGCATTAACATTTGAGTTAAACCGTTCCCCATCCCTGGCCTCAAAAATGCAAGGCTGCCAATTATCACTCAGAGCAGGAATCACGTTTAGTCTTGGAAAGGATACTGAATGAATGGCTTGTCTACAAGCATTTCCTGCAACTGTCTGCAGTAGGTCAAATGGAAAACACGATGACTGGCTACATGATTGAAATAACAGAGTTCAGACTGCCAAATGAAATGAGATTTGTAAAAAAAATTTAAAAGTTCTCAATGATGGGAAAACGTCTTACTCTCTTGGATGTTCTCGAACGTCCACTGGTCGTTCTTGAAGAAAGGATGCCTCTTGATCTCATCTACACCGTTACGGCCAAGTCGAACTTCTCTATATGGACACATTTGATCTGATTGTAAATATTTCTGAAGCGTTATACATAAAGCTCGTTTTCAATATTTTAATGCAGAGGAACGCTGGGCATGTTTCTTTCCAGAGTTTCACTACATAGAATTAAATGCGTGCCTACACAGAGAAATAGTTCCTATCAAACCTGTCAGTCAGGAAAGCACAGATGAGATTCTTGGCATCGTTGGAGATGTCGTTGTCATCTGGGAAGGTCAGAGCATTCTTGTGGTTCATAATTTTGCTGTAGGTCCCCACCAGTGAGTCTGCGTAGAAAGGTGTATCGCCTATGCACAAGAAACACGAGGCATGGGAAACCAGGATATTTATCAAGCCTTTTTTTTTTCAGATGGTTAGCTTTTCCAATAAAAAAATAAATACTCACCAACAAGCATTTCATACAGAAAGACTCCGACTGACCACCAGTCACACTCCCTGCCATAATAGCCATCTCCTCCTTGAGATTTCAGTACCTCGGGTGAAATGTAGTCTGGAGTTCCCACTGCTGTGTCACAACGTACCATACCATCCTGACAGAGTAGACATTGTAAACTCATCACCATTCTACTCCAGATTCAACAAAATATCTTATTACATTGCACTATTTTATTTATTTTTTACATTTTTAAGGACATATTTAAATAAAGTAAAAATTATACCTCCTTCATTTTCATGCAGGTTCCAAAGTCTGCGAGTTTTAGGTGTCCTGTTTTGTCGAGTAACATGTTATCCGGCTTTACATCTCTGTTGACACACAAACAGTCACGGCACTGGTATCACAATAAAAGCACAGGCTATAAAAACATATATCAATCAATCAATTCCAGGTAGATAAAAGAAAAATGGAAATGATAAGAGGAACAAGACAGATGCTGATTGTCACCTGTGAATGAAGCCCATGGAATGGATTCCATCTAGAGCCAGCACCACCTCTGCAGTGTAAAAGCGGGCCCACTTCTCTGGGACGTCGTAGTTGCTCATCAAATTAACCAAGTCACCACCAGGCATGTACTCCATCACCATGTAGAGGTAGCGAATATCTTGGAATGCAAAAAAGAGCTGTGAAAACAAAAGGGATAAAAAATGAGTTATTCAAAAAAATACAACAAAAGGTTCAAAAGAGGACAAATCTCAGCAATTCCTTGCAGGCTCATTCAAAAAACTGTTGTTGGTTTAAAAAAGTAAAAGACTGTTTTAATTTTAGTCATTTTTCCCATCACATCATACCTGTACCACCCATGAACTGTTGGCAAAAGCCATGATGTCTCTCTCCTCCCAAAAGAAAGCCGAGTCTGACCTCTTAATCATCTCAAACTTGCTCAGAAGCTTCATGGCGTATACTTTGCGAGTGGCTTTGTGTCTAACCTGTAAAACACGGTGACAACCGAGTCACATATTAAGGCATTGTGCTATGAGCATATTTTATACATTAAAAGAAACCAAAGATTTTACCAGCTGAACTTCTCCAAATGCACCTCTTCCAATAACTTTAACCACCTCATAATCATCTGCTTTCATCCGTAAACTGCGAAGCTTTTTAATGGTTTCTTCATCTGGGGGGAAAAAACATTTAATAGAAATTATGCACAACCCTACACTCCAAGTTAGAGAATACAGCTCATTATTAGTTGTATGCATTTAGGCACTAATGAAACACAGTAAAAACTAGATTACACAATTAATTCAAGTAGTAAAGTATCTGTTTTAACAATCTCAAATCCTTTGAGTTGTGTAACGTTTACATTCTGAAACAAACAAAACTGTTAGCAAACAAATAAAAAAAATAAGCTGAGTGGTTAGGGAAAGTTTTTCTTTCTTTTTTTTCTTATTGAGAGTTGGCCTCTACCCAATGTAATAATTCAAGTTCCCCCAGGATAGATAGCATCCACTCTTAAGCCAGATTTGGTCATGGCTGTACTAGGGGGGATAATTTTCAATCCTCGTGGGTCACAACTGGCACTGGAATGCATGGAAAAGCAGGGTGTGAGGGCATCAGAGTTCAAATGATCTAAAAATAAAGCCTTAAGCTATTAGAATAGGGTTGTGATTTTGGCCATTTTAAGGTCCCATCTAAGGTTTATGGTATCACAAATACTGCTTGACTAATCAAAACAATGATATAGAAATGTTTACATGAGTGTGATTGAAGACTTAGAAGAAAAGTTCTGTTTAGATTTTGCATGTATTTTTGTGTGTATACTAAGGGTTATTTACAATACCTCCCTCCATCCATTCAGTCAAGCAATCAGTTGATTTGACTTGAGCATAAAACAACGCACTAAAACTGGACTAAAAAGCCCTTCAGGCAGCTCACACTACTGAGTTCCAGGGTCTCAGTAACTAGTCCATAGGTCCAAATCCATCAATGCTTTACACAAAAGAACCAAACCAACAGTAACTGAGCTAATGTACAATGGCAGATTTTTGTTCAATGGTTTACAGTAGCTTAGGTTGGTATTTAAAAACTAAACTAATTTTTCTTTGCTCCGGTCATCTCTCCATAAAGACACCAACAACTAATCAGCAACATATGTTGGTACATTAATACAAAGTTTTTACACAAGTTTATTTGGAAGAACAGTGTGTTGAGCTAAATCAGAAGAAAGACAGAGTCTTTAGTTTTTGTTTAGTTGACCAGTTGTAAATACATTTTAAGTCAACTAGAAAGTATTCAGGAAATTAAAGACATTCATGCTCAATACAATGCAACACAAATGGCCCACCACCCCCACTTCAGAATTGCTGGTTTTATATTAAAAAAAAAAAGTTCATGGATACACATTGTAATGACAAGGAGGTTACAGTATATCTTTTAAAGAACGATTTACAACTTTGAACTGATATTTTTGCTATGTCTAAATCAAAATTAAGGCGGGTACGCAGTTGAAAAATAGAAGCCAACTTTAAAATGAATCATATGGGTCACCAGCTATTTATGAAAGCCCCTTTGTTGGGGAATCGAAGCAGCAGACACCTATTGTGTCCAAGCACACAAAGTGGCGGTGACCCAAAAACAGCCTTCTTTTCTGATCCTAGACCTAAACCATATATGTAACAGAGGTCCACAAACATTAAATGGGACATCCCCATTAAGGAACTCCATGAGAGGGACATAAATGATGCAATGAGCTTACATCTATTCAAGAAGTTGTCAATGCTCTTGTTTTTCCTTAGGGCAGGGAAGTCAAGGTCATGCACCAAAGCATCCAAGCCATCCTGAAAGAAGARGAACAGGGTTAACAAGTAGAAACAAAACTCTGCTAATCCTGCACCATCAGAAAAAACAGGAAAACCAAACAGTTCTCTACCAGGCTGTGGCGSTCACTGGAACTGCTAAAAGAAGAAAATTCTGCAAGGAGCCAGCAGTGGGCTTCAAGTGTAGATTACATTATTCATGTCAACTTTAACGCTACTACAAAAACACATTTTAGTGGCATTGTACACATTTAAATGTATTGTGTTTATTTCGGAAAGTATGTATTAAAAAATGTTATAAACAAAAAGTTTAGACTGAACTTAATCCTTCCATGTTCTTTCGTCGTCATATAAATCTGCCTCAGTCATTCCACAACAAAACCACTAACCATTACAACTAAGAACTATGTTGTGGTTTCTTTTCACACCTACGGCATTCTGAAAAGGATTATACAAACAATCTTGTGATGAGTACTGGCCACAGCATTTGAGCTGCTTATCTGACAAACTTTAAAGGCAAAATGCAAATGTCAAATTGTGATAAAGAATGTTTCCCCTTCCGCCGTTTTAAAAAGCAGTTACATAAAAAATGTATTTGCATAAAATACAGGCATTAGAGGAGACATTTCTCAGTTGTTTTAATTTTAGACCGCCTCTGCTGAATTTCAATTGCAGAAATACTTTTCTGGAAGTAGTTCTTTCTTTATCAACAACAAAAACATTGGACTGAAGAGACCTGCCCAACATCCTACAGTAGCTTTTGGACAGCAAGTACTCCTAATGCTTCACTTGTACCTTTGTCTCTTATTTTATCAGGAACAACAATTAATCTGTAAACAATGTTCAGAATTGGTTATTAATGCCACTCAAATCAGCTGAAAAGCAAAGATGAATTGAGCTCCATAATGAAAAGAAAGGATTGATCCTGAACAAAAATATAAATATTCCACTAGGTTCATTTTAAGATACCCATTACCTACAATGCAAACTTTTGTTGTAACTAGAGGTGCACCGATAGCAATTTTCTGGCCAATCTCAGATCACAATCTTTAAAGTCTGACCTGCTGATTCTGATTTTGGCCAATACAATTTTTTTAAATAACTTACATTGTCAGGTATTATAAGGTCACAATACACCTCCAATGTTCCAATCTTATTTTATTGAAACACACTGAACAATAACCTTTAAACAGTACAAACCTGTTTTAACTGGACATTAGGCAGTACTCACAGCAGAAAGAAAAGGGTCTGATTTTCAGACCTTTGTGGARGTAGAAGAGAAGCCAATCTTCTCCACCAATCTTATCTGTATATGCCGATCTCCCAAAATTAAGGAAATTAGCTGGCTGATGCATCCCTAGTGCATCCCTACCTGTTAGAAAAACACACAACTTGCCAGACAAACTGAATGGCCTATTCTTATACCTCGGGAATCCAGGAGACACACTGCTGAATTCATTTTTCTTATTCTCTCCTGCATTAATGTACAATAAGCTGTTTTCCATTACAACACTAAAGAGAAGTGTGAAAACACTATTGTAATTGACACCAGATGTTTAATTTTCAGAGGATATTGTGAAAAGCAATTTGTCTCCTAGTAAAGTAGCAGCATGAGCGTGCTGCCTCTGCATTTCTATGTTCATGTTAGGAAAACAGAGGGCTACTCCTGGACAGCCAAAGCTGGTTAGACATTGATAACACRATAGTGTACTTCTGTGGTTCTTAAAATGAGCTTGGTCACAATGGTGATGGTTTAAAAGCAAATATTTCAAAGCCACAGGCTTTTAAACGCGTGAAACTACTTTCCATTTTGAAAATAATGTGTTAAAGTGATGCACTGATACATAAATAGCAATCTCCTAAGTTAAAATAGTGTTAAGTCAAATAAGAGAAGCAAATGTGTATCATAAGCAGTGAGTCCTGTAAGGAGGAACAGTGTTGTTCAGTTCAAATATATGGTTGCCATGTCATAAATATAATTAGGAAGCCAACAAAAGACAGATCATCATAMTGGAGATCTAAATGAAGAGTATTCAGACAGGATTCAAAAATGAAAGCAGCAATAGCGCTTAACTCTTTGCAACCATGACTACTGGAGTTGTAGTAAAATTGGTCAAGAAAATCAATCATGTCATCAGTTAGCAATTTGATTAGAAAGTACCCGCTGTTCCATATAAACAAAGAATTACACTCTCAAATTCTCAATTATAATGTGTACTAATAGGTAAAGCAATGGGTCATGATGGATGGGTACCAAATTCGATACTCTTTTATGTACAAACCGAGTTCTGTAGGTACTACCGAGAACCTATTCACGTAACATCAAGCAGTACCGTGTTTCGGTACCTAAACGCATCATTGCGATCGTACTGGCATAAGAGTGGTGAGTTTTCCATGCTTGTCCTGAACGCAGCATCGCGCAGGAACGTAATGACGTCAACAGCCACTGGTTCAGTAAACAGCTCGGTCTGAACRTAGCTTCAAARCCTCGCAGTTCCTGGAGTAAAACTCGTCGAACAGACCGCCTCTGAATTATCTGGTGGATTAATTATCTTGTGAACACGACGTTCGCTTGCTCAAAGTAAATACAGTACTGCCACTTTCTTTATTTCATCCGCCATTAAACAGAGACCGGCAAAGGAAAACAACAGGCGCTTCCCGACAGTCCAAACACATCTGACCTGAAGGAGCACAAGCAGCTAACTTGAGGTTTTGGATGCTCAAAACGTAGCTTGAATACCTTTTATTTATTTTAACTCCATCCGCTTTTGCTTATTTAATTTAAACTCATTTGCCTTCTATGAACCTCCATCACACAATTTTTCTAGGGGGGAAATGACATCAATAGAAATACATGGAGCTGGATTTTAATTTGTGCAATAAGACAAAAACAGTCTTGTTGTTTTCAAGACTTTTCACTTTAAAGAAATAAGTTACACAACTGATGTTACAATACATAGAGTTGGATGTTGTCTTCATATCTGTTAATTTCATATATTGAGAAATATGTTAAAAAAATAAAAGTTCAGCCAACTACAACCGAAGACAACAAAAACATTTACAAATTTACTCTGCCAAAGAGTGGGGGGATGGGTGACAACAATTTAAATAGTGTTTATAGTTCAAATAAATATTTCAGGTGAAGGAAAGTTACAAAATACAATATAAGGTAATAAGAAAAATAAATATAGTATTAGAATTTCAAAAGCTGTTAACAAATGCTATTTTGCATTCAGGCTTGGCAAGAACAACATGTTACAGGCGAAGTTTGATCTAATCTGTCCTAATCCAGAGTGGATTCAACAAAATAGGCATATGAACACTTGAACACAAGTGTGTCTGTGAAACAGGTGTGAACCAACCCTATCACACATCTATCTTAGTTATTGTTTTGTTTTTCAGAAATCTCAAATTTTATCCAACATATTTCTGTCAGCATCTTTGTACAAACAATGATGACAAATGATGAATCAGCAGCTCAGTCAAAGACAGGAATTCACATAAATAACTTAGCTGCTTCTACTTGACAGTATAGGTCAAGGCCACACCCCTCTGTGAGCCATAACACCAACAAGTGCTGTGCAGGAAGGGTGGAAAACAGGGAAAAGGCAGGTAGGAGGGGGGAAGGAGAATTGGGAGTTGGAGAGTGGCTGGTGGGAATAACAACAATAAAAAGCCACTTAATCATTGGCTAGGGAAGAATCTGGGGAATTAGCGAGTGAAACGATTGGTTTCAACAGGAATAGCCATCTTCAATTTAAAAAAAATCCTTACGAGTCAACATTTAAGAAAACAGATATTTATGCAAGACAAGCCAAAAAAAACAAATGCAAAAAGAGACCCCTCTGTCCATTCAGTGGTCCAGACAGCCTACACTGGGAGATGGGGAGGAGGGGTGTGAGCACTGAAGAACTAGGTCTTTTGAGACCCTAATCACAAGACTCTGGGAGCAGCAATGCACGTTTGCATAACTTCCTGCCGCAGAGAACTCTGGACAGCCACAGAGACATTCCTTARCAGGACCGTACACGTCAGAGAGCTATTTTAGGTATGTGGCCAAACAAGTTCTCAACAAAAAAAAGTGAAGGAAGGGAGAGAAAAGTCCATACCAAGTACAGAATCAGAGTGGAACTTATTTTTCAATCAACACTAATGCTGAACTTGATGACGAAAAGCCAGAGGGAGAAGTGTTCTGGCACACACTGAAGCTGGTTGAAAAACAAAGGGTGAAAAAAAACAAAGAGAAGTCGGAGTGCATGACTGTCATGACTAAGATGCTGAAAGTAAAACAACTATAATGAGGGAGGAGTGACAGTAAAGTGAACCACCCTCCCCCAAAACATAATTTTAAAAAGAACCTACATTTTTTGCTGAATAGAATTTATGATCAAAATGTGCAAAATCATTTGCAGCAATTTATGCTGACTATCAGAAAGAATAAAGAACTAAGATCTGTTTAAGGAGTTGTGCTGCCTCAAACGTTCTTTCCCAGAGACTGCAGTCAAAYGCCTTGCAGGTAAATTTGTCAGCAACTATACTCTAACTACATCTACACTCTCATTATAACAGCAATGCATCATGAGTTCTTTCATCTCTGCCTGCATTATGTGAAAAAGTAATAATAGTCCTTTCCTGGTGTAGTTATGTATTTATTTTGGTGCAACTGTACACCAAGAGGGCAAAAGTGAAAAAGGTGTGAGAGATAGAGGAGTTGAACAAATAAGCTCTGCGTAGCTCTACATACACTACAATAAAGAAAAAACAGGGTACAAGACAAAAGTAAAAAATTACTGATCAAATACTGGAATTGGCTGCCACATAAACTGTACATGAGTGATCCTCCCGAGTATTAAATGATTATTAAACTATCTGCTGACAAATTTGTATCATCACCAATATTAGAAGCTGCAAACAAATGCCACAAATTAGGGTGTTTGTACATTTGTCCTAAACAAATTTACCATTTAATGGTTGTCACATATTCAATGGTAGAATTACAAATTCTATACACAAACCAAAAA